TCCTTCATATCTCAATTAAACACAACTTTGAATCTTCATTTCCTTCCTGGCTGCTGGAGTGTGGTATTGTTTTGGTTATCAAGCTAGTTTTTTATTTCAGCTGGGCCAGAGATTGTTCATGTCCTGTGGTTTTGCCTTCTCCATTGTTTGTTTCAGCGTTTTTCGTTTGCTTGACTTTTGCTTTCCTTGGCAGTCCTCTATATTTGTTACTTTCTCCATGTTGGCCTATCTGATCTTACGGTTCTTTATTTCAATCAATTAGGTATGCAATGACAACGCGAACCTTCAAAACTCAAGTAATTTGATGATTTCTTCTTTCATACGAACGCAGGCCTCAATGGTGCTCCTATCAGAGTGGCAATAGGTGACACAGCTTGTCTTTGTCTGCCAATAAATATTACCAATTATTGAGATCACTAGTTTCTTTAACAATTATTTGTTTTTTCTTGCAGACTTTCTGACTAATCGTATACTCAGTTATCTCAGTAAGAATCTGTCTTTTTCTTTACTCAAACATGAAGTCTAAACTGCATGCATTGAACACAATTTTAATTACATGAATTGGTTCTTCAAAGGCTGAACACTGACATGACCTTCTCTTTTCTTCGCAATGAAGTCTATGGGCCGATAACCAAGTATTTTCCAAGCGGGACATGGATATACTATTCAAGAAGAGGGGGTGAGTTAATTTAGAGTTCTTTTTTTTTTTGTAATCTGGAATTAATTGTTTCATTTAAAAGCATTATTAGGGAATAAGTTATGATTAATTACTTGTTTACTATCTATAAGATTTCCCATATTGATTCTACTCCTTTTCTATAAATCTTGTAGGACAACCGCATTTAGGATTCCGAATTTACAAAGGTAAATTTAAATAACTCTCGAGTTATCATGTAAATATTGAGATTATCGAGTTCATCTAAAAAACATTAATATGCTCTTTTGGTACAAACCTTTTTAATTATTTTTTTTGCACTGTCTTCATTTGGCAGAATACTATGTGTATGTTGGGACCAAGACCATATCTTCAGATTTTCTCAGCATAATCATAGTTTTGCTCATAGCACTACTTATTTTCACTGGTAAGTACTTTCCTATGCTTCTTTGGATTCGTTGTGGAACATGAAATGTGTGCATTGTAAGATCAAAACATAAGATTAAAAGAAAAATGGAAAAGCGCAAGCAAGTATCTTCAGTGACTGTGGTTTCATGGAAATAAGCCCTTCAACTTTTTAGTTTTTCTAATTGAGTCTAATTCTTTAATTTTACAATAGATATAAATATTAGCAACTTTAATGACTTAAAAAAAAATCCAAAGCTAAGATGGATAAAATCAAAATTCACTAAGATTCTCCGTGCACAATCTTTTTTTTTCTTGTATTTTCTAAGAAGTTTTTACCTTTTGGTGCAATGGATTTGAGATTTGAAAAAAGTTGATGCTTCCATGGATACATAGTAAACTAGTAAGGATTTATCAGGAGGCAAACACAACGGAAATCACATTTCGTTTATAAAATAATTTTGATGTGGCAATCTATCAAGTTAACAATATTTCATTCTGCCATTGATTGTTCTTGTTGTTTCTCTACACAGTGATATTTCGTGCAATATTATTCCTTCTTGGGCTTCCATGCCTCGTGACCTATATAATCTACACATGGCGACGAAGGCACTTATCAATGTATGACACCATTGAAGAGTTCTTGCAGACTAATGACAATCTCATGCCTGTAAGGTATTCTTACTCAGAGATAAAGAAGATAACAAATGACTTCAAGGAGAAGCTGGGTGAGGGGGGCTTTGGCTCAGTTTATAAAGGAAAGCTTCGTAGTGGTCGTTTTGCAGCGGTAAAAATCTTGAGTAATTCAAAAGCTAATGGACAAGATTTTACCAATGAAGTTGATACTATCGGAAGAATTTATCATGTCAATGTGGTGCAGCTTATAGGTTTTACTGCTGAGGGATCAAAGCGTGGTCTTATATATGAGTTTATGCCTAATGGTTCTCTTGATAAGTATATTTTTTCTAAACAGGGTAGCACCAAATTAAGTAAAGAGAAAATGTTTGACATTTCTCTTGGTATTGCTCGAGGCATTGACTATCTACATCAAGGTTGTGATATGCAAATCTTGCATTTTGATATCAAGCCTCACAATATTCTTCTAGACGAGAAGTTTGTTCCAAAGATTTCAGATTTTGGATTAGCAAAACTGTACCCAACAAATAATAACATTGTGCCTCTAACTGCGGCTAGAGGAACGATGGGATACATAGCTCCTGAATTGTTCTACAAAAATATCGGAGGCGTGTCTTATAAAGCAGATGTTTATAGTTTTGGGATGTTGTTAATGGACATGATAGGAAGAAAGAAGAACTTGAGTGAATTGGTAGTCGATGCAAGCCAAATCTACTTTCCTTCATGGGTTTATGAGCAGGTTTGTGAAGGGAATGATCTAGAAGTATTAGGAGACACCACAGAGCAAGAAAAGAAGATAACAAAGAAGATGATTATAGTGGCATCGTGGTGTATACAATTAAAACCGGAGGATCGTCCATCAATGCATGAAGTTGTAAAGATGCTTGAAACCGATGTTGAATCCCTGCAAATGTCTCCAAAACCTTTTCTCACCACCTCACAACAAATGCCAAAACATGATGACGTGGCCAATCAATCAAATCCATCAAGTTATTGTATAAATTCTTCATATCAGTTCGGTCGTTAATAAATATATAATTGTTTATTCATAGATTTTGAAAATGAATTAATTAAGCGTCTGAGATGTGTTTATTATATAAATCAAGCTCTTCATGCTTTTATTGAATCCGAGTAAGAGCCAGAGCATCACATGCCAACATTAAAACATGAATTTTCTAAAATTATATCATGAATCTTAGTATCTATATATTTATGAATGATTTAATTTGATTTGTTCTCAAGTAAAACTAAATCATCTCTTCTTTTTCTTCCTTTTTATATAGTTTGATTGATGCAATATCAGAGTACGTCCACACACAAAAATCATTGTTTAAAAAACAAAAAAGAAGTCCATTCACGTCCACACACAAAAATCGTTGTTTAAAAAACAAAAAAGAAGTCCATTCTCCATAAATCAAGTGGTCTTGGGCATAAAAGGTGAAAGACAGTAATTCTTAGAAATGAAGAAAGAGCAGGGAGTAGAAAGGAAGAAGAACATAGAATGAATCTGTTATATAGAGAAGCAGAAGACGAATTCTAGCATGGTTTTATTATTTGCTTTTGCTTAAATGTTCACATCACTAATCCTTAGTTTATATATGCAGTATTAAAAAGATACTACACGATATTTGATCTTTCTTTTTGCACTGAAGTAATGCTAACAGATTCACTAACTGACAAACAATACTAATAGCATTCTAACAATATCAATCTCTAATCTTCTGACACTTGGCAAACGTAGAGCCGTTGATATCTTTACATGCCCCCTCAATCGCAGGCTTGAAGGAGCCAAGCATGAGATTGGAACAATGATGTTGAAACAAAGAAATGGAAAGACCTTTGGTGAGGATATCAGCAAACTGATCAGTAGAAGAATATGCTATTGAAGCCATAGAATCTGGAAACATGGACCCTGCGAGTATACTTGAGCAAATTAAGCTTCAAATTACTAATGTTAAGGAGGAATATTTTTACAGGAAACAAATACTTGAAAAGGTTAAGAAATGGTTGACTGCATGTGAAGAGAGAGTTGGCTTGAGGAATATAGCAGGGATGACAATCAATACAATGCTGGGAGATATAACAGGGATGACAATCAATACAATGCTGGGAGAGGTGCTTATCTGACTCTCAAGCGTGCTGAGAAAGCTCGCAATTTGGTTAATAAAATGCCAGGTATGGTGGAGGCTTTGGCTTCTAAAACCATGATATGGGAAAGCGAGAAAGGCACTGAATTCTTATATGATGGTATCCGAATTCTTTCTATGCTTGAAGAGTGCACCATATTACACCAGGAGAAAGAGGAAGAAAGACGAAGGCAGCGGGATCAAAAGGAACATTTTTAGAGTTCAAGAGACAGAGAAGAAGAGAATCGCAGATTTGAGAAGAGAGTTGAAGAAGAATTTTTCAGTTTGACAATATTTTGTAGAATGCAGGAAGTGAAAGCAGAGAGTTGAAGATTGTAACGATCGGTGAAGTAATAGAAAATTGAAGTATTGAAGAAGAGAATCAGTTAGGCAATATATCAAATAGATGATAGGCACATCAACAAATACACAGGAATTTCATAAAAAGAATGGGAATAAAGCCAGAATTCAGAAGCTAACGACCATAAGATCAAGAATTCCATTGCTCTGATACCATGAAAGACAGTGATTCTTATATAGAAATGAAATATAAATGAAGAAAGAGTACAGAGTAGAAAGGAAGAAGAACAGAGAATGAATCTGTTATATAGAGAAGCAGAAGACGAATTCTAGCATGGTTTTATTATTTGCTTTTGCTTAAATGTTCACATCACTAATCCTTAATTTATATATGCAATATTAGAAAGACACTACACGATAAATGAAATATAAATGTTGCACTGAAATAATGCTAACAGGTTCACTTAACTGATAAATAATACTTACAACATTCTAACAATATTAATCTCTAATCTTCTGACACTTTGCTCTTTCTTGTTGCATTGAAATAATGCTAACAGATTCATTTAACTGATAAATACTATTAACAGCATTTTAATAATATCAATCTCTAATCTTTTGACACTTGGCAGATATAGAGCCGTTGATATCTTTACAAGAGGGCCCTTATTCCATAAAATCATTTCCAATCGCAATAATGGTGATTACTTGTGGGTCGCAACCAGTAAATATATTGTGTGGCTGAAGAAGCAGCATGTTTTATCCTTTTCATGTTCATCTTGTGTCCAAATGACTTCAATTCACATATCTCAACAGCTAGTACATGAAAACTAGACTAGTGATATTCAAGCTTCTGCTTGCAAGGGAAAAGTGCTACATTCAAGCACCAGAAAGCAGTAATGTTGATTCATGAGATATTCTGATGAAATGTAATGATGTCAGTAACATCTTTTACTAGCTCATCTGTGAATTCACAATCACCCCATGAAGATGCGTTGGTGTCTACAAAGTATTTTACAAGAACAGAATGAAAAGCTCATAAAATGTAGAAATGAATGTATTGATATGCCTGTAACATCTTATAGTAGCAGATCAAGGCAGCTAGTGCCTCACTCTATGATACCTTTGGGACTTGCACGCAACCTCAGTTACAAACTCTTCAATATTCTTATCAGAGCTTCCACCTACATCTACTGCCGTTTTGGCTAATTTCTTCCATTTATCAGAATTCCCTCTCATCGCATTGCTTCTTTCACTTTCCAGGACTTCCCTTATGCACCTTCTACCTCTTCTTTTGTGACAATCCCCTTTTCATTTACATTTACTCTAAGTCCTACATGCCAAACATCAGTGATATACTTAGCATTTGTTGGTTGATCAGTCCACTGTGGCATCGCCACCATTGGCACTCCTAAGCTCAATGCCTCGAGTGTTGAGTTCCACCCACAATGAGTCATGAAGCATCTCCCAACCGCTTGTCTAAGATGATTGATGGAATCATTGGTCCTATTGTTTTGATTGGCCATTTATTGATTCTCATCCAGTTCACTACCTGGTACAGACATAGCAAAATGTCAAGCAGCATTCAACATGCCATGAATGAACAAAAGAAATGACTATATTATGAAGGAATAGGAGTCCACACTTCAAGCTCATTAAAGTTGTTCCATATCAGCCATCTTGCTTCAAGAAAATTTGAGAACTGACCGAGGAGGAGTTCTCGTATAGCTGGATATGAACCTGCATCACTAACAAATGATGGTAGATCGCTGAACTCCGAATTTTCCAACGAAGGCAAGGACACGGCTGCCTGATCAGACTCTACTACTGGAACTTGAAATGCCCCCTGAGCGGCATGATAAAGAACAGCAGTAACCGCACAAGATCGAGTGAAAAATGGACCACATTCTATGCCCTTATTTCGAGCCACATCTACTGCCCATGGCAGGACAGAATCATACATGAGAAACTTAACAGGATATTATTCACTGCCATTATATCTATCAATGAGTTTGGATAAGCTGTGAGGTATTGTGAGCATGTAACGGTCGAAATACTTATCAATGTTTGCCGCCATTTGACTTTCCTTGGATCCATCAAAGATTGGTTCCAAATTGATCGAACTATCTTGGCCTTGCATAGACTTGGCAATAGAAGGGGTGATGATGAACGTGACTTCGAGGCCTTTTGAGGTTAGACGTTTGGAAAATTGCAGCATTGGGTTTATATGACCCTGCAGAGGCAAAGGGAGTACTAGGACATAGCTTCCCCTAGCTCGTTTTTCCTTGACCATTTTTTTTCCAATTCTTGTCTCTCAAACACAATAGAGAGGCATTATAGAGATGAAGTCAGGGCAGTTGCAACCTATAATCGACAAAAACGAATCACAAATAGTTCAATAAAATATCACTCTGCAAAGATGGATACCTGCTATTTCTGTCCGTCTCCTTAAATTGTTTTTTCTGAACATATGGAGGTCCATGTGGGTCTTTTCTCATTTATATTCACATAAACCATAGCCTTTCGAAGATTACTAGACACTAACATAATCAATGTGACAGGACTTGATATTATTGAAACATGTGATTTCAAATTCCAACTCTGTGCACAACAAGGAAATCACATGATCATTCCAGGAAGTGAATTGAACTAGATAAATGTCTTCAAAGTCTGTGCTCAAGCAAATCACAGGGCAATACATGTGCATTATTGTGAAGAGATTAGAATCAAAAGTATCTTCCATCGTGGGTGATAAATCACCTCATCTGTTATGTAATTTGCTTTGTTTGGATTAACGAGTTTCAATTATTATTATTTTTCTAACTCCAATTTCTTAGAAAACAATAAAAGACGAAAGCATTGTGCATAAGGTGACATAATTTAAATCATTTGGTGCTTCTCAACATAGCTACTAGTTCATTAATGTTAGTATCAGAAGTTCCACCTTCGCTTGTAGCCTCGATAGCCAGCTCTTTCCATTTCTTGGAATTCATTTTCATTTCTCTGCCTCTATCTCCCTCCATCACTTCTTTTATGCAAAGGGCAATCTCTTCTCTTTTCACAATTCCATGCTCATCAACCTTAGCTCTGACTCCCACCTTCCAAGCATCTTCAACGAGTTTAGAATTCGTTTGTTGATCACTCCATCCTGGCATTGTCACCATTGGGACACCCAAGCTCAATGCCTCGATTGTTGAGTTCCACCCGCAATGTGTGAGAAAACATCCCACAGCCTCATTTGCTAGCACTTTCACTTGAGGACTCCAATTCACTAGCAATCCCTTATTCTCCACTTCTTCCACAAACCCTTCTGGGATCTTCCCCTTCTCAGAATCCATCACCACCCACAAGAAGTGAAAATTGCTCCTCTTTAAGCCCCAAGCAATTTCCTCCATTTGCTTGCTGCTTAGAGTAGCACAGCTACCAAAGGACACATACACAACTGATGCAGTGGGCTTAGTGCTGAGCCAATTGATAGAAAGAGATGCGTCTATTTCAGAGAGACTAATACCGTAGTCATCGTCATCTTCAATGCTCTTGTCCAGGTATATTGATGGGATTGTCGGTCCAATTGTCAATAATGGGCAAACTTTTGACATTCTATCCACTACCTGAAGGAACAGCAAAATATTTGTGGAGATTTGAACCCTTAATTTACATAGCATAAAAACACAAGAAGCTCAAATTATAATTCACAATGATTTGATCTTGATAAGATTGCCCACCATCATATAAAGAAGCCAACGATTATAATTTCTCGTTTTGATATGTGCTTAGAGATATGACTTTATGGCATATAATGCCAGTGCTTAGAGATGTGACTTTATAGCATATAATGCCATATGTACTGATGTGTCTCACTAGTATTCAAATGCTAGGTGGAAATTACCCTAAGCCTAAGCATCTAAAAACTTGGAATTTTTTATCTACCTTCACTGTTCATACGACCTATGAAGTTTCATAATTAAAAAGCTTCTCACTCTTTTTTTTTCAATACCATCTATTTTTTTATTTAATTTCATTATTTTTTTAATTTCTTTCTGATAGCTTTTTTTTAATAGTAGTTTGAGTTATTTTTTAACTAATTAAGTCGTTTATATCATGTTAAGATAACTCTTTAATTTAATTTTAAATCTGAATTAAATAAACAGTTGAATTACATTTTTTTCATAAATTTTATTTTTTAATTTTTAATATTATTCTCAAACTATTTTCTTTTTTTTATGGAGTTACCTTTAAACCAACAAAAATCACCTTAGTTCATTCTCACCTGCAAAAGAGATAGATATGGAAAGTAAAAGAGTAGATTTTGATTCTAAGATAATATTGTTTGGTTCTCAAATCCATCCCTATCAAATTAATTTTATTCATTTCATCCCAAACCTATCAGAAATTATACGATGTATCTGCGCCTCCAGTAGCCAAAATACACAAGAAAAAGGAAAAAAGAAAAAAGGCACATTACAGTTCTTGAATGGAGGGACATGTTGTCTAAGATAGCTTCGGAATGGAGTTGATGAAATTAATTGGTTTGGGATGGAAATTGAAAAGGAATGAGATTTTCCCAGAAACCGAAAAGGAAGTACAAATAGTTGTAAAGTCCAATTATGCGATACAGAATTGCCTACCTCACACTCCAGCTTGTAGTAAGTGTTGATGAGGATCAAATCAGCCTTGTCCATATTAGCAAACTGACTCATGGTCATCTTAACATTAGCAGGGTATGAATCCGGCAGAACAACAAACGTTGGCAAGTCTTGAAGCTCAAGCAGTAGTGGTAATCCCTCAATCAACACAGGGGTTGAAGAAACTGGCACCTTTAACACTTCATGGTAGACACTGTAAAAAATGTAATCAACAGCACAAGCATGTGTAAAAAAAGCAGCTGCAAATAACCCGAAATCCTTTGCCACATCCAGAGCCCAAGCCAAGAAAGGCTCGTATATTACAGCATGGATAGGGCTTGAAGAGGTTTGGTATCTCTTGATGAGATCTGATAGGGTTTTTGGACCAACATCATGTAGGCTTGAAAGATAGGGTTCCCAGCTACCAGTTTGATTAAATCCATCATCATAGCCATCTGATATGGTATCAAGTTGAATGGAACCAATTGATGAGCCAAGTTGCCTCGACTTGGATATGAATTCGGTGATTACGAAGGTGACTTTGAGCCCTTTGGAGACCAAACGCCTAGAGAATTGCAGCATGGGATTTATGTGGCCTGCGCCTGGCAGTGGAACTACTAGCACATGGCTCCTATTGACCATCTTTCCCATCTCTCTCACCCTCTCCGTAGGGCTCCTTATTGATCCATTTCAATAGTGATAAGAGTCTTTGGAAGTGAGTGGATGGTAAGGAACTCTCCACGTTGTCAACGGTGACATATACTGCTGATTACAGTACATTCTTCGAATTTGCACATTTTAATTATTAGATTGATGGCTTACTTATAAAACCGGATGTGGTCACAAGTTGAGTAATAAAATTGATGATCGAAATGATTTTGTTTCAATTAAAAAACATAAAAAAGAAATTAACAAGTTGATAATTAAGTTTTTGCTCGAGTCTATTCAAGTTCTTCACAAAATTATATTAAATTTCTTTTTTATTTTATTTTTCTCCACCACTAGCATGAATTTTTACTAGAATTGAAGGGCGGGATTGGATATCAATGAAATTAAAAATCTAATATCATATAATCATCAATCTCATATATTAAATTGTTTTGTGTTTTGTAAGTAATTATATTCTTCTAAATATTCACAATAATTGATTAGTAATTTGTGACTAAATTTGGGGCTATTTGCCACATAATAAACAAAAATATTTTTTTATTAGTAAAAATAGAGATCGAGTAACATGAGTATGTTTTAAAAAATCTATAAAACAAAAAAAGAAGAGCTCGATCTCTAATTAAATAAATATTAAACATAAAACTAAATAAACATGAGCTTAAAAAAAAAGAAAAAAATATGTAAACCTAAATGAATCTTTGGTAAACTTTAAAATTCACTACTTATGAAATCCTATGTTCGGGCACAGTCAAAAAGCTCAAGTTTTAACTAATTTAATATTAAAAAAATAAATAAAAAAATATTAATTTAAAAAAATTAAAGTAAAAAATAAAAAATTGAAAGGGGTGAAGTTAAAAAATAATTTCAATTCTATAAATTATTTTAAAAAATATAATGAAACAACTAAAAATAAAATCTAAAGGATTTACAAATTAAAAAATTGTTCTAAAATTTATATAAAACGTATATGAAAATCTAGAAGAAAAGAGAGTACAAAGAGAGATATAATATCATGATTTTGTGGATTATATCCTAGCATGATCTTCAATATTGTAGGATATCTTCGAGCTAATGGAGAGAGAATGAACCATAAGCTTGTCATATGAACTTAAGAACTCGAAGGAAGTAAGGGTCTTGATTAAAATAAAGTTCATCATTGTTAGAAATGTAATGAGCTTTTGTTATTAAAAAATTTCTTCCAAATAAAGTGATAATTCAGTTCAACTAGATTGGAAGACTAGGAAAGGGCTCTAAAGTTATTAACCTATAGGCAAGGTATTGTGTTGAGAGTGATATGGGATTCTTTAAAAAACAGATAAACCAAATAAAGTTTTGTAACTATGAATGCCATAATCAAATTTTAAACCTTCTAAATTTGTTTTCTAAAAAAGTGTATATTTTTCTTTTTATTGAAAAATCCAAAAAAATATAAAATCTAAAAACAATTTTGAAGTACGAGGAAATAAGTCTTCAAACCGTAAAAAATAAAAATATTAAAAAAAAAAACCAACTAGATTAGGATGTTTTGACAAGATATAATAGAGAAAAGAAGAAAATTGAAGTTGAAATTCAAACTTGATCAAAATTTAAAAAATTAATTACTTCTAAGGATTTAATTAAACTTTAACAAATTTAATTAACTTATTTAATGACTTAATTAAACAAAAAATAAGTTTGAAAGTCTATTAGGAAAAAATTAAAAAAATTAATTAAGTTTAAGAACTTAATTAAACTTCTAATGGGTTTTGTTGATTCAATCAAGAACTCGATTAAAAAAAATCAAGTTTAAAGATCTAATTTGAATCAATTTATAAAGATTAAAAAGATAATAACACAATTAAAACTTTGAAAGGTTAAATTGATACAATTAGAGTTTAATTGAAAGAAATTTAAAGTATGAAGTTTAATTGAAGATCAATTGAAGAAATCTAAAATTAAAAACCATTTTAGTAACACATTAAAATTATTCAAAATACTAAAAAAATTAATTTAAAACAAAAAAAATCAAATTATGACCAAAAAATAGATTCAACCACGGCAGAAACAGTGACGAAACCCTTCAAAAGCTGTTGACTGGGAGTTTCTCCATCATCATTGGGAACTCCTTGAGCTCCCCCCTGAACCTGCAGCAAAGTTAACTCACAACTCATAAGAACTGAAGGGTTCAACATGCATTCAACAGAGGTACCTATAGTAGCATATGCATAATCGTACATAGGAGCATGAATCTCCTTTTCTGTTCTCTCCTGCTAGCATCCTTCTTGGGCTATACATCAGTCACCATTGTTATGTTCTGATGTTTCAAAAGACTCCTAGAATTTGCTTGACTTGCATTTTTATAGCTAAATTCTTAACAAGCTTCCACTTCAGCTTGTATAAATTAGGTATCGAGCTAGCATTTACATGCCTCTAATGCTGCGCGATAGTGTCATACTCTGTTTTTTTTTTTTTCTAGCATTTTTTTGTCGATTTAAATTTTGGGTACACTCTAGCATTTTTTGTCGATTTAAATTTTGGGTACACTGTTTTCAAAAGTTCACCATGATGGTGGATAAGAAATGTGGAAGAACATTGGGGTTCTTACTTGTTGAATACATGGGCCAGACTTTATTTTATTTGTGAACTCTTAGCTATAAGGGCTGGGTGGAACATGGTTTGCTTACGATTTGATTATATGGGCCGAACACGATTTGTTTCCTTGTTTTTTTTTGGGCCGTATTAATTCATGCCATGGGCTGAGTGTACATAATTTTTGTTTACATGGGCTTTGCACATTTTATTTGATTTTATTCCAAAACAATATTATATTCAAACGACAAAAAAATCTTTACTTATATTTTTAATTATATATTAAAAAAATTCTCTTAAAAATAAAAATTCATATTTGTATAAATAAAAAAATATATAAGGCATGATTTAATATCTTTAAATACAAAAATTCAAGAAAATGGTTTTGTTAATATATTTGCATGCATTTTGTATTTAATAATTAGTTTATGAAATATATGAGAACTTAACCTAAATTTAAAAAAATAAAATTATTTTTATTATTTGAAAATCAAGAATCATGAACTTATATGTATGAACTTATATGTAAGGATATATTCATATATTAAAAAATGTTAATAAAATTGTATTAGAATAGTTAAGTTTTATCTTGATAAGATAAATATTTTTTTACTAATAAAGATTTTTTTAAAACCTTAGACAGAATAATGATTAGAAAATAAAATAATAAAATAATTTATATTAGACAAATAAATAATATAACTTATTTTAAATAAGGTGTATTAGAGATAATATATCCTCTTTATATACAACTAATTTTTTTTATCTAAATTCTAAGATCAATAAGAGTTTTTAGTGCAAAAATATTAGATAATAATTTTATTTTTTATTTTACTGATAAAAAATAAAATAAAAATATTATTTTCTTTTATTTTACTGATAAAAAATAAAAAAAAATATTATTTTTCTTATCACCACAAATATCTTATTTTATAAGAATATCCTCATAACATCGTATACATGCAATACTTATTATTCTACTTCAGTCGTAGAGAGTGCTACAACATCTTGTTTCTTAATTTGCAGTCCACTATATTTATTCAAGTGTAACGAGCACTTGGCCTAATGTAAGTTGTGGTCAAGAATCCCCTTTAAATATTGAATAATGATAAGATGATTGGTACAAATTTAAAAACAAAAGAGAATGATATTATTTAATAATTTAATATATATTTGAATTAAAATCAACTCATGTGGAGTTTATATAGATATATAGCATGACATATAGAATAATATAAATTATATCAAATGCTTGATCATCTTCCCTGATCAAATAATTTCCTTATTTTTTTAATCAAATGATTAAGAATATTTACCTTAACTATTTTATTAACATGTCACAACTTCTTAACACACCCTCTCATGATAATTTTACTTTTCATGAGTTTTATGTATATTAACATCATTTATATTATTATTATAATTTCATCTGCTTATTAAAATAATTACAATCAATAAACAACCTTATTTGGTCAATAAATAAAATTTAGGTTGAGATTGTTATATGCTTGCAACAATAAAAAAATCATAGGAAAAAAATGTTCAATGAATCAAATTCCAAATTGAACTTTCATGTTTGTTTCCATAAAGGCACAATGATGGTTTTTATAACAATAACAATAAGAGTATTCAAACTATTTGAACAATAAAGATTTTAAGGATAATCATGAGTTAATATAACAATGAGAGTATTCAAACTATTTGAACAATAGAGATTATAAGGATGATGAATCAATAAATCATGAGTTGATTTAGTATTGAAAATGATAATAAACAAAAACAAATCATCTAGAGAATGAAGAGAATTGAAAACAAGTTGATTTAAAGTAATCAAATAGACAACTTAAAGCAGTTTGGAATTAAAAATAAAAAACTAATTTTTAGAACAATATACCACAACCTGCTTTAATACCAAGTAAAAACAAAAAAATAAATTACATGGTTCAAATGGAACTCAACAGTGTTATATTGATCATACACACTAGCATTATCTTCACAATCTTTAGCATGATGTTCGATTGTGAGATATCCTAGCGTGATCATCGATCATGATCTCTATAAGTATAAGTGCAAGGTGTCCTAGCATGATTCTTATGATTTTTTAAATTGCGGGGTATCCTATAGCAGTATCGACTTGTCTACAAGTAGTCGTTCTTCGCAGACATGAAAAGTCCGAATGAATCCAAATCTCATATGGTCACTCGAAAACGCTTGACGCATGAAAATTCCTAATGCACCCAAATCTGAGGAACTTTCAACGCTAAGACGCTATGTTTGAAAAAAAGAAGAAGCAAAAAACCACTATTTACATCAAGGGACCACCAAACAGGTTGTCCTAGAGGCGTCTGTAATTTCATTTGCAAATTTGTGGACAGAGAAGTACCAAGTGGATATAGCAAAGGCCAAAGGCAATACATTCTTCTGATACAAAACTCGAAACATAGTCTATTGCCAATCTTCCAAAATAATTGTGAAGGCATAATTCTGCTGTTAACTTGAAGCATTTTAAGGTCTTGGCTTTTAAAATCTCCAATGATTGAACAAATGCAATCCCTTCGCCCAAACAAGAATATAATTCTTTATTTTACATTTCGAAAGTTACACGAGATATTTTTTAGTCTTAATTAATGGAAGAGTTTTCATGTGGCAAAGCAAATAAAAAATTCTTTGTTTTTAAAAGAGTATAATTTACCTTTAGACAATAATAATAGTTATAAAAAGAAAAGGAAAGAAAGAGAAAAGTGTCCCAGCTGGCATAATTTTTTGTTTTTGTTTTTTTTTAATTGAAAAAAATGAAGTCAATTGAGTTAAACAATTATAAGGTCCAAAACACGTGCCGTGAGAAAAATCCTCAAAAGTTTTCCCTTATCTCTTGGTTTTTCTTGTATCTTTTTATTATTGAAAACTCCCCACAAACGAGGGTTAGTAGGACTGCTAGTCGTCGTAACCAAGAGAGCTCAAGTTGAGGGAGAGATTGAGGGATGGAGGAGTCATGGAAAGGGCATGTACTCCTAGTTCCATATCCAGGCCAAGGCCATATAAATCCCATGATGCAATTCTCAAGGCGTTTGATCTCCAAAGGGCTCAAAGCCACTCTTGTAAACTCCATTTTCATTGCCAAGTCTATGAAGCTCGGCTCCTCAATCGGCCCTGTCCATCTTGATGTAATTTCTGACGGTTTTGATGAGGAAGGCTTTCCAACAGGTGGTTCTAGTGAACTCTATCTCGAAAAGCTAGAGGCAGCAGGTTCAAAAACCCTATCTGAACTTATTGTCAAGTATCGAAGCACACCATACCCTATTGATTGTGTCATCTATGAGCCTTTCTTGCATTGGGTCTTGGATGTTGCTAAGGATTTCGGGGTCATGGGAGCTGCCTTTTTCACTCAACCTTGTGTTGTTGATTATATTTATTACAACATTCAGCATGGATTGCTGAGTTTGCCAATTACTTCAGCACCTGTTTCCATTCCTGGATTGCCTCTTCTTGAGCCTCGAGACATGCCATCCTTTATCAACGTCCCTGGCTCGTATCCTGCTTACTTCAAGATGTTGCTGGACCAGTTTTCCAATACAGACAAAGTTGATTACATTCTTATCAACACTTTCTACAAGCTAGAGGCTGAGGTAAATTATATATGTTCTACATGGTTCAATTGTAGCAAGCTCTCTTTAATGCTTCCATTCTTTTCTTTTCTACAGATGGGGGACTTCCCAAAGTTTATAGAGTAAAAAAGTAAACCCTCTTTATATTTTTATTTTAATTGAAGTATTAAGATATTCTAAACATCATAAATCAATTATGGTTGGTGCGAATCATATCTTATAAAAGGCACAAACCATTTCAGAAATAAAACCAAAGCTAAGCCTGTTATGGATAGAAAAGCTCCTGACCCACCCCTAATTCTTAAGCTATAGGCCTAGGCCTACAAGCCCATTAAAATGTATATATATTTATGTGCCGCTGCTATAGCATTTAAGATTGGTTGGAAATGTGTTTTTTAAAATATTTTTTATTTAAAAATATATTAAAATAATATTTTTTTAATTTTTAAAATTATTTTTTATATCAACACAATAAAAATATTCGAATATTAAAAAAAATAAATTTTACTCTGTTTAGAACATAGTATAATTCTGGTGCAGTAAATCGTTCCATATGTATAAAACTATCAAGTGTTGGAGATTAGTCTGTAACTGGCATATGGTTCAAGAAACTAAATCATATTCTGTGTTTTCTCTGGACAGGCAGTGGATACAATATCAAAAGTCTGCCCAACATTGACAATTGGACCAACAGTTCCATCAAGATACTTGGACAAGCGTATTGAAGACGATGATTACTATAATCTTGATCTCTTTACATTACACGCATCTATTTCCACCAATTGGATCAGCAATAAACCGCCAAGGTCAGTTGTATATGTGGCCTTTGGTAGCATTTCTAACCTATGTGAGAAGCAAATTGAAGAACTTTCTTGGGGCTTAAAGAATAGTAATTACTATTTCTTGTGGGTAATAAGGGAATCTGGGCAAATCAATCTCCCCAAAACATTTATGGAAGACTTAGGTGAAAAGGGTTGTGTGGTGGGGTGGAGTCCTCAAGTTAGGATGCTAGCAAACGAAGCTGTGGGATGTTTTCTTACACATTGCGGTTGGAACTCAACAATTGAGGCATTGAGTCTTGGCATGCCAATGGTGGCAATGCCACAGTGGACTGACCAGCCACCAAACGCCAAGCTGGTAGAGGATGCTTGGAAGGTGGGAATTAGAGTTAAGGTTGATGAGGAAGGAATTGTGCCAAGAGATGAGATTGAGTGTTGTATCAAGGAAGTGATGGAGGGAGAGAAGGGCGAAGAGATGAAAAAGAATGCTAAGAAATGGAGAGAGTTAGCTATTGAGGCTGTTAGTGAAGGTGGTTCTTCCGACAAGAACATTGATGAATTGGTATCTAAGATTATAAAATTCAAGAATTGAATTGCAGCTTATACTGTATCAAACATGAAACTGGGACAAAGCCACAGACACAATCCACATCTGTTGAGAGAGGACCCTGTTTTTCTGTATCCTTCCTCCTCTGGACTGTGATGTGCATGCTGATTTTCTTGGGATTTCCCGTCTTCTTGTCTCAAAATTTTTCATGTTTACTTGAATTTTCATATTTAATTATGTTTTATTAAGAAAACTAGATAGATAAATAAAAAATGAATATTATATATTATTCAATAAATAGTGTTTGTCATTTGCTTGTTCTAATCTCTTGGTTCAGATTATGGATGTTATATATAGATTTTAAATTGTGTTTAGTTAGTATTTTAAAATATAAATGATAGATATAAAATAGATAAAACTGTGGTTGGTTAAATATATAAAAATAAAACAAATTTCTCTCTAAAACATTTTTAAAGTGAATTTTTTATTTTTCAAAATACAAGCTCAATATTATCTTGTTTTTCGTATGGATATAATAATTAAATGTATGTAACCTTTGCTAGGGGGGGAAAAAACATAAAGGTTTTTCAAGAGAATCATAGCAGGCCAACAGGCCAACCTTCAGACTATGGAGTAATAATGGCTGTCAACAATTAGTAGGTGATTGGTGGTATGAATTAGGGATAAAGAGATTTTTTTTATATAGTTTTATATTTCAGTTTTGTAATTGATAATATTGATAATTATTAGAGGTTTATCTGATTATTAATTTTAAAATTTGTGATAATAAGTCCTGGAAAATGCAAGTTATTCCAATACCCACACCCACATGAATTAAAAAAAAAAAAAGCTGCAAAGGAAATGGCTCTGGGCCGTTTTCAGACCAAAATACCGAGCAAACAATTCAAGGTTTGATCATGTTCGTTAATTAAGTTATCTAAGTCATCATCGTTGCCCCAAATAATGGAGCTTTCTCTGCATTTGAAATTTTACAGGACACTAATTAGAGGGATAAACTACAATCAACTTGTAAGGGCAAATGTATGTGCATGGCACAATCAACCTGTAATTAGAGGGATGGTGTTCTTCTGAAATTAACAATTTTTTTGTTTTCTTTTCCACTAATCCATGGCATATACGAAGATTCCTTTCGATTGCTTCCACCTCATGACCTTAGCAATAGCAATGATGCAACTTCACATTAGAAGCAAAGGGCAGCCACACATTTCTTCTCCTTGGTCAAACAAAATAATAAATACGTAAGAAGTTCATTCCTTGATCTCTCCTGATGTTGATACCCATCGCTTTCCTTGTCTCAGTTTCTTCTGTTTTTATTTCTTAGTTGAAAAGCATGGATCAAGATAATGTTTTTTCAACCCTTTTTTCAATTCAAAAAGCAAAAGCAGAGGCTGAGATAAAGTGGCCCGTAAAAGCTTGAATAACCCCTCGTTTGCTTCCTTAAAGCCTTTACCTTCATATTTTATTTCTTTAACGTATGATCCCAGTTTTTATCCTTTGTCTAGCACCAACTAAACAATATAACAGCAGGAAAAAACTAAATTGTTTATTACCATCCAAGATATCCAGACTAGTCCTCTAGGTGGTGCTTGCTTCAACCACACAATTCAAACAAGCACTTCATTGCTTGCCAATCGAAGAGGGTTCTTTATTTTTTTTAATCCGGTTTGTACGAATTCTATAAATCATATAATTATCCTGCTAAAAATGCGCGATCAAGATGACAAGAATGTGATTCTTTAATACTTGCAATTAGTCCTCTTATATTAATCACAACATAAATTTAATTTGTTTAAGAATGTTAATTAGTTTAACACGAATGAATATAGTACTTCTCGTCTCCAAAAACAATTCACTTTCCTATTTACATATGAAATAATATTTGTCATAAAATCACCAAATATAAGAATGGGATACTAGTAGATTTGATTGGGAAATCAACCTAACTCAAGGCTTGGTTTGAAAGGGTTTACCAAGATCAAACTAATTTTTTTTTAAATATGAAATAACATTATTTTTTTAAAAAAAAGAGATTTTTTCACTGCAACAACATTATTTGTTTTTGTTCCTTTTAATTATATGAGGAAAAAAAGACTATAAAAAATCAAATTTAATTAAAAAAATAACTTACTAAACTTGTAAAGCGAAGCAACTTGAATTGTCTTTGACAAACCCGTAAACCATGTTAACCTTATATAAAAACAAAATTAAATGAAATAAATTACAAGTTAAATTCTCAACAATCTTAATTTTAAAAAATAAAATAAATAAGAATAAAATTGAACAAAATATCATGAAAAAATTTAAAAACAAACAAAAAGAAAAACATTATTAATTACTATTGTAATCCACAATGTAATGGGTGTTGAGTGAATAATGATTTTCCCTGCATCTTTTAATTTTTTTTACTTCATAAAATTTAATAGCAAGGGTTTTCTTTAAAATCATTTTTTAATAATATAAAAAAATAAACTATAAAAAAATTCAATTCAAAAAACCAACCAAATCCATAAACTAAAACAACCTGGATTACCATGACAAACTCGTTAACCTAGAAAAAATACAAAAAAAATAAAAATTAAATTTTTAATTATTTTAATATTAAAAAAATAAAATTTTCAAAAAATCATAAAAAACAAAAAAAAACTATGTGTTTAAAAAAAATAACTTACAAAAATACTATATTTTTTCAAGAAAAACTGCAATACTTTCCCCAACTTTCTTAACTTTTCTTATAATTAATTCACGGTTGATGTATCACATATGTTATCCCGTGAACCAATTATTAAAAGATAGTTATGTTAATTAGTATGCTTGCTTAACCAGATACTTTAGTTGTTAAATGGGGACCCAAACATGTAGTCATCATTATGGATTGAAGCTTCCCTATTCCTTTTCCATTGAAATGAAAATTTTCTTTGAATATTCATTCGCTTATAGAAAGGGAGTTTTTTTAGCATGGTAAAAATAATTGATAAAATAATACAATACAAAAAATATTTTAAAAAAATAATATAATATAATGAGTCATATATATCATATGCGAATCACAAGTAGTATTTATATTTTTTTAAAATTACAAAATTGTTAGATAGAAAATTCAATAAAAAGATAGGTAAGAGAGGACAGAGAAAAAGAAAAAACATTAGGAAGACACACTAAAATTTCAATTATATACGAATATTATTAGTACTATTAAAAATATATCAAAAAAAAAAATTCAACGACATCAAAAAAGATCATCAACATTAACTAGAGGGAGTCACAAAAACTATTTAAAGTTAAACAAGCCCCAACACCATTAGTGTTATTAGATTTGTTTTGTCGAGATCTTTTATATAATATTAGTGATATCATCGTTAAAGCTTTAATGTGTCTTCTAAATTGTTTTATTCTTTATTTATTTTTTCTCACTCATCTCTCCTTGTAATTTGTGAAGGAGGGAGAAAAAAATTTAAAAAAATTGAAGATATATAAAAGCTTTGATGACTGCACCACCAATATTATAAAAAAATAATTCGAAATAATGAACCCCAACAATACCAAAACAATATCACAAACAGTGAACGGAGTGTATTATATAAGCCATCTAAAAGTGTTAGAGGTCACTTATTATTAGGCTACTCGTGTTATCCATTTCGATTAATGTTAATGATTTTTGTAGTGTTTTTAAATTTGTCTCGTTGAAATCTTTTCATCAGTACCATTATTTTCATTATTAAAGTTATAATATGCTTCTAGATTTATTTATTTTTTGTTCTTTTATTTTTTTCTTTCTTTTATTTTTTTTATTAAATTCATATCCAATCATTTTATAATTTAAGAGAGTTGCAAATAATTCTGGTTGCTCACAAGTAACAAATATTATTTACAATTCTATAAACCGCACTTATCTGAAAGGCAAATAATAGAAAGGCAAGGACCCAAGTGATGGGACTCTGCTACATACGGCTGGTCAGCTTTCGGCCCATGAATCTCATCGGTCTCTCTCATCTCCCTCATCTTCATTAAAAGGTCTCACATTCCAACGACACCGTCTCCTTATCCCTCTCCCTGTCCCTCTCATCTCTTGCGGGCTTGTGTCCTTCTCCTTCCTCTCTCTACCGGAGTCCTCTGTCAACTCATCCATGTATAGGGTTTTGATTCCTTGGCCTTTTTTGGTCACCAACTGGTCGTATGTATAGACGTACTAAACTGGGCCCCCATTTTTGTGTCTGTATGAAGCTTTACCTACCATCACCTTTGTCAAAACCAAGACAATCTCAGTTTATCTTTTCTTTTTGTATTCATAATGCGTTTCATAACATAAAAGATATTAATGTTAACTATGAGATTAAATTTCGACAGCAAATTTAAACATAATTTTAAACAAAAAACCTCAAACTAAAGAGTATTTTTTCTTACGCTTAAATTAAGTAAATGCAAACTCCACTATTACATGTCCTAACATTAAAAAATGTTATGGTATCTATACATTCTGTAGATGGAACGAGCGTTACCATTTGATAAATAATCTCTTCCGACAATATAGTCCTTCCTAGATTATCCCTCTGTTTACCATATCTCGATGTGATACAAACCAAAATCTTTCCTTACTGTTTTTAAATCACACGTAATACCTTTCTACTTTTATATATACATATGTGGAAGAGGTGTGTTTGGACTGTGGTTTTCTGTGGCAGGAAGCTAATGGTAGACTAATTTTTACCTACTTGAACTCTCTTTTTTATTCCTTTATGCAGGAACAAAAAGTACCGACCACAACAATTTATGTCATAGTAGTAATATATTTATTTGTAATTTCTGCATAATTCTTATATATATGTTTAGATCAAGTTTTATAAACTGAAGCTACATTTTTTTCCGTAAATATTAGAAATCCCATGTATCCGAATTAGAATGTTCACCAAAAAAATTATGTCACACTTCTCCTCCTTAAATGCAAACTCATGATGAAATTTCAGACAATTTGTACCCTTTCTAAGCCGATGAGAAAATTTGACACGAGCTTTAGAACGATTATGATGATAAGAATGCAAGAAAACAGTTAGGTTTTGGATATAATTTCACTCTAAAATAAGATTTGGATGTAGCTTATGAGATATGCATAGAAATTAAAGAGATTTTTGGATGTAGCTCATGAGATATGTGTAGAGATTGAAGAGATCCAAATTAGAGAAGCATACAATGTAGGAACCATCAATGAAAGTTCTCAAATAAAGTTGATCCGTCACTTGCTGGCTTGATAGTGATTTAACCTTGAGATTCCAATTATGTGATTGGTGGAATAATATTTATGGGAATTTTTTTGTTTTTCTTTGCTTTCAAAATGGATAATAAGCAAATTGCCGACTGATTATCCAAACTGCCTTGATCGATCGGGGATTTAAACCGTATTTTCTTTCTGGCATGGCCGGTCCTCAACAAGCTCTATCAAAGCAAATATAGAGAGGCGCCTTCCACCATTTCCATTTATGGTTTTTCACTAGCCAAAATCATTCGAAGACTAATGTTAGATTTACCAATTAGTCTTCTCGAAATATTTTATGCCCTAAATAGAAATCTCATACACTAAACGAGTGAGTCTCACTGATGGATCCAAATATTTTATTCCTCTCTAGCTAACTAAGCAAAATTCTAGGAGTATAAACGAAAGTTAAAAAATGGGAATTCAAGAGGAGGTTAATATTTAGGATATTAATTTCTAATAAACGTACCAATTTTGATTTAAAATCCTTTAGTTTAGGTTTTGATAAACTTATTTAAATATTAATGGTTATTAAACTCGAAAGAAGATGGGAATCCAATAGTTCATTAGATAGTTATTAAAAGTGGTTCAGCTTTACAAGTTGATTTGACTATGAGTTCAAAACTTATCTTGAATTAACTTATATTTCGAATCATTTTATATATTGATTTGACTAAATCTTGAGAAGTACTCTTGAAATATAATCTCGAATTAAGTTATATTTGATGGAGTTAACTCTAAAAATTAAAAAAAAAATCTATCCAAATTAATCCCATGATCATCATATTAACTTAATATTGTGGTAACTCAAGCTCTAAACTGAATCAAACACGTCTAAATTTGTTAAAAAGAAAAAACTCAAAAGTCCAAATAAATAATAAGGGAGTCGTGCCTCATTTGTGCCTCTTGTTTTAGGCACACGTCTCTTCTATGCTCTCTGCTTTGTTCCTCCCTGTCCACTTATTCCTGTGCCAACACTTTACCCGTTTTAGCTCCTTCTCTGTTCCTTTCTGTCTCTATCAGCGCACTATACTATTAAAAAAAAACCCACTTCTTCTATGAGCAAATTTCATTTCTTTTATGCCCACATGATCAAGAAGGCATCATTCAGGTTCTCTCTGTTTTTTTTTTTTGTTTGGAAAAAAAATATTGGGTATGTAAGTTTTAAGTGAATTCTTTGGCTTAAAGATTAACCTTTGAATGAAAAGTCTTTAAGATTGTGGGGTAATTTTTATTTTTTTTCAGGTGCTTTGGCGATACAGTGATAATGTATATATAAGTATTATACTGTAAAACTTTGCAGAAGATCAGCAAATCTTCCAGCTTTTAAAGGTATGATATATTACTTGGTTACTATTTTAGTTCTGCTTGGTTGCTAAGGAAATTCTAGGAAAAGAAAATGAAGAAGCAATAGTAGAAGACTCTGAAGTTCATTTCTTATTGCTTTAATGGTTTCTGTTTTTTTTTTTTCTATGTATAATGCTTGATCTTTCTGTCCAGATATTTTTTTATTTCAATTTATTTTTGTTCTGTGTATAAGAAAATGCAATTTTTAGTATTTTTTCTTCTTCTTATTTTGTGCTTTTTGTGAGAGCTGGTGTGCTTTAAAGCAGGGTTGAATGGACGCTGGTTTTTCTTATTTTCTGCTTTTTGTGAGAGCTGGAGTGCTTTAAAGCAGGGTTGAATGGACGCTGAAAAGGTTTGGACTTTTTATTAAAAGAATTATGTTATTTTAATCATTTTTAATATATGCTGCTTTCTTTATTCTTTTTACCTTTATTTTATAATCATGTTTATTCTTTATTCTATTATTTTCTGCAACTGATTCTTTTTCCTTTCGATAACATACCTTAAACTTTTGATTTGTATATTGTTTAGTTTGGCGTTCTTTGTCAAGCAATCTTGGGCCAATTGTTCGATGTATGACACCACCTTCAAACGAAACTTAGGCATTCTATGTATTTGGATTAGTTTCATACATGACTGTAATAGGATTAATATTTACTGTAAATGGCGATCCCTTCTCTCTTGGTTTTTTTTTTATTATTGATTTTATGGACCCTTTTTCTGCATTTTCGTTTAATTTGTTTTTGTTGTCCACCAACAATTATACATTGCTTGATTGTTTAATTTAATTTCATGCAGATCTTCTAGCAAGACTTTACTTTTACACAGCAGAAACCACAGATAACTTATGGCTTCACCGGATATCGATTCGTCTTGGCTCTGTGCTGCTACTGAATCTTTTGGTGGATGTTTCAATGCACAGATTGAGGAGGTCAAATCAACCAATGTCTTAAATGTGCTGGAAGCTCCCACATCTTCTGTGTATGATACCCGTAACATCCCCAAGCCGCCACCTTATCCTAATACAACATGTAAAACAACCAGCCATTGTAAGAGGATCTCAGCGAGTTGCTCTGTTCCAAAGGAAACAAAAGATACATGGGACAGGCTATTCAAGGAAGCATACGGTTCAGATGTCTACATTATCACAGAGAGCAACTCGTATGTTCCAGCTCATTGCAATGTTTTGGTGAGTTAATTAGACTTCTATTTACTTGGAAGTATCATTGTTTTCATCAAAGATGCCTGCTTGAGGAAAGGAATTTTATTTCATATATCGAAATGTAAAAGATAAAATAGGTGTTTGCCATCTTCTTTAAACCTGATGCATTCATTAAGGCGTTTCAATATTGTTGCCTCTAGAATATAAAAAGATGTGTTTTTGATAAATGGAGACAGAGGGGCAGTATAATGACAAAATTCGTAATCTTTATCTTGAATAAACACCTGGAGTTGATTTATAATCACTAAGAAATTTAGGTTCAATGTGATGGCTGGGTTTAATTTCTGTAACTTTTCCTTTTGCAGAGTATTGTGTCGCCCGTGCTTGGGACTATCCTGCAGCAATCAAAAGTTAAAAATGGAATTAGATACATCAGCATTCTTGGTGTACCTTGTGAAGCTGTCCATGTGTTCATTCGGTTTTTGTACTCGTCCTGGTATCTTCAAATATCCTTTTCCATATATTCTTCATCAATAACTTTCTCTGGGACCGTATCACTGATGTAACAGCGAATGTTATGTAATCTTGTTATTTATTTTTTGGAACAGATTCAAATAGAAATGCTTCCCTTTCTGGTTTTTCATAGTTTTAAGGTTCTCTGATTTAAATAAAGATATCCATTCTTGATATTCCAATGCAGCTATGAAGAGGATGAGATGAAAAAGTTTGTTCTCCATCTGTTGGTGTTATCACACTCATACTCTGTCCCGTCACTGAAAAGAGTTTGTATAGACCTTCTGGAGCAGGATTTTCTGACTAGAGAAAATGTGATAGACGTGCTTCAGTTAGCAAGGAGCTGCGATGCGCCACGACTCTCCTTAATTTGTCTTCGAATGGTTGTGAAGGACTTGAAATCTGTATCATCAACTAAAGGTTGGAAAGTTATGAGGCGAGCTAACCCTGCCCTTGAACAAGAGCTTGTAGAATCTGTTGTCGAAGCAGATTCGGTAAGTCAATTCCTGATCCTTGTATTGAACAATAATATAGAATATGCAGCAAGTTATTTTAAGCACGCGGAGAATTACAAGCAGTTCAAGTTGTTTTCACTTGTTTAGACCATAGATGACATGCTACAAGCAAGCACATGAAAGGTTTTTCATTCTTTTATTTCTATGATTCCAATTCAAGGTGGGGAAGTAGCAACTAGTGGATCTTCACATGCCTAATTTAACCATTAAAACTGGAATCCTGTAAATTCAGCTTTTTGGGAAACATGGGCAGTAGCCACGTTGTATATGGTGGATGTCACCTTGAGAAGAAGTTGTCTAAGAAAAAAAAATGCTTCAAAGTGGAATTTCTTCCGGTTCCAGTCAGGAAAAGGCTTTTCATCTTAGTCTGCAGTAGTGGTTGAGTCTAGCAGCTTCTTTCGCAGTGGAATAATTATGTGTTTATGGATGAGTCGAGGAACATGTTCCCCGCAGTGAAATGTCTACTTGGTAGTCTTGACATCAGTCTCCCACCCTTGTATTTTTTGAAGCCTAAATAAAATTCGATTATGCTTTTGAAATGATATTTACTATCATGAATTAACACTAGTAATCAGTTGGTCTTGCTGTTTATGGACCCCTTCTTTCTTCATTTTCTTTTCCTCAAATCAATGCCCATATACAAAGTCGTGATTCATAATGTGTGATCCAAATTTTACATTATCCAGTACAAGCTGTAATATTTTTTTTAGTTCAACTTCACAAAATGGAATCTGAGTTTCACTTATTTTCAGAGAAAACAAGAGAGGCTGAGGAAAATAGAAGAGAGAAAAGTATACTTGCAACTGTACGAGGCAATGGAGGCCCTTCTTCACATATGCAGGGATGGGTGTAGGACAATTGGACCTAGTGGCAAAATGCTAAAAGGAAGCCATGTTGCCTGCAACTTTCCTGCCTGCAAAGGACTTGAGTCCTTAGTTCGTCATTTCTCCAAATGCAAGTCTCGGGTCCCAGGTGGTTGCATTCACTGCAAACGCATGTGGCAGCTTCTCGAACTGCATTCTCGTATGTGCGATGAGCCTGATTCCTGCAAAGTTCCGCTTTGCAGGTGAGAATGAAACTTGCATGTATCATTTGCCTCCATGCCTTTATTTTCAGGGTTTCAAAATCCATTTAAGTGAGCATGAAACTTGAACAAAAGGAAATACTAGAAGCCAAAACAAGACAGTTTTCAAAAGACATTTACACTTGCCGGAATGCTATTTTGCTTATTAAAGAATTTGAATATCCAAATATGTCCTTCAATGTGGAATTATGTTAAGAATTTTTTTAAAGCATGGAGATAGATGAAAAATAGTTTACAAGCTTTTTGTCAGATATGCGTTGTGTTTGTGTAAAAGTACAAATGAGGCTCATTTGTTTTGATTAACTTTTTTTTTCTAGATTCATTACCATACTGAAGATTGCATTAAAGCTCCTTTGTTGACATTGATATTCCCATGAATTCTTTTCACGGATTCTTCTTTCTACTTGTTCCGTTGGGGTGATGGGAGCATCATATGATAACCTACTTGCTTGATTTGAGCAGCTGATATGTTCAATCAGCTCCTCAAATCAAGCATTGATATGCATGCTGCAGTATCTTGATAGTGTTCTCTTTCCTTGTTGATAGGCATTTCAAGGAAAAAATGCAGCAGCAAACAAAGAAAGAAGAAGCTAAGTGGAAGCTGCTGGTCAGCAAAGTAATAGCAGCGAAGAACGCCTTGGGGCCATTCTCAGCTCGGCGTATAGATTTATTCTGACCCCGTTACTTCTTTTAACCTTGTATCTTCATGCCATCAACACACCCAGGCCATTGTTTTGTATAATGTAATGGCAACCGTAAGATGGAAACAATAATCGGCAAAGTGGTTCGACAATGTTTCTTGTACAAACTTTGTATCTTCATTGCACTTTGCTCGAAGTCCTTTCTCTTCGTATGATTAAAATAACGAGGGAAGAGGAAATATTAACGTTAAATTTACCAGAGGGGCTAAATCATAATATATTTTTTGAAATATTAAGTACTAAATTAAATTGAGTTTAAACTATAGGGACTAAACAAATGTAATTTACTCTTGTTCGTTTTACCTTGGGTTCAAAAAAAAAAATTCATCCACTTTAAATTATTTATTATTGATGAATTTTGTTATAGAAGTATAATTATAAAACTGGGATTAGCATATATAATTAAAGATTAAAAAAACGAATAATCAAAAAGATTGAATGGAAATATTTCGATTTTACTTGGTTTTGAAGATTTCAATTAGATTTATAAACCCAATGCTTCAATTCTCCCAACACCTGGTGGCTTCAAAAGGCCTCAAGGTCACTCTAATCACTAACCCTTCCATTAGAAAACCGAGCAAGTTCCATCAATTTAAACTGTTTTTAGATGGATTCAAGGAATGTGAAACCCTTGAAGACGGAAGTCCATACAATTCAGGGAAAATTCAAAGCTCCCTCTGGAGAGTTTCTGGTTGTGTCCTACTTCACTAGAACCGGTGGAGTTCAACGATTTCCCATCATTTGTTTAGGATGTTTCATACCCAGTTATAGGACCAACAATATTCCATCAATGTTCTTAGACAAAATGTGGAAGGATGACGAAGATTATGACCAACTCTAATGGCGAAACAAACCATTGTTAAGGAGTGGCGCACCGTCACAATACATGGCCTCGGTGGCGTTATGAAGGTTGCAGCCGCTCTCGTTAACAAAATTACAACAGGCCTGAAACCATGGAAGCCTAAAAACATATACATACCATCTAGAAGAGGAAGGCCTGCTATGCACCGGATAATCCATGGCCTCGGTGGCGTTATCGAGGTTGCAGCCGCTCTCGTTAACAAAATCACAACAGGCCTGCAACCATGGAAGCCTAAAAACATATATATACCAACTAGAAGAGGAAGGCCTGCTATGCACCGGAGAGATGCCTTAATATTCCACTGAGCATTGAGAGAGAGAACTTTCAGGGACATAAAATGATTCTTTGTTGCCGTTAATCTGCACACAAAAGATGCATACAGACATACATGTGGTCTCGAGAACAATATATACTTATCTACCAACTCATTCAATACGTAAGGGAATCCATGGGCACAGAGCCTACGAAGTATTGCATGAAGTTTTTCCCACCAAAGAAGAGGAAGGCAGCTTAATGACTTCACAATTACATAGTCAAGCTCCTTTTATTTGGCTTTTTTTTTTCAACGTATCTTCTTCTTCTTTTCAATTTCAATTACATTCCTCGACATTAAATTTATTAAAAATTAACTTTTAATTTTTTTTTAATTTACTTTTAATAGGATATCTCAATCTTATAATTTATATAGTAAGTTTAATAAATTGACTCAAGTGTTTTCTTTTTTTTATTAATTTTTAATTTTAAGTTTATCATTTAACATTATATTTATTAGAGATTATGCATTATAATTTTTTGCTATTTACTTTTTGTGTAGTTATCTTAGTTTTATTATCTAAACTTGGGGTTTAATGAGTTAGCTTAGTTGTCTCAAATTTTTTTTATTTTTCTAATTGATTTTGTTTTAATATTATCCTTCAACAATAAATTGAATTGATTGAGAACTAAATTTCATTATTTGTTTTGGCTTGCTTTTTAAGGTTATTCTCGTATCATAACTCAGGTTGTTATTTTGCCTAATTAACTCGAGTTGACTTGAGTTGCTTTTTATATCCCTTTCTACGATCAAATTTTTTTTTTTTTTATCTTTTAATATTAAGTTAGTTAATAATTAAGCTTTATAATTTATTTTAATTTGTTTTTTATTGGGTTATCCCGATCTTATGGTCTATGTTACGAGTTTGACGGATTAACTCAGGTTGACTTAAGTTTTTTTTAAAATTAATTTTTTTCAATTTCATCTTTTAATGTTGGGTTTATTAGAAATTAATTGTCATAATTTATTTTAATTTATTTTTTGTAAGGTTATTATACTCTCATGACCATGCATGTGGATAGACCAATAAACTTTAATTCGAATTGATCTAATATATTTTCATCTTAATATTTATAAAAATATCACATCTTAAATATTTATTTTGAGTCAAACTATATTTTTATTAGTAAATTAAAATATTTTTAAACCCATTAAATTGATTGAATTATAAAATCATTTAAAAAAACTAATTCTACTAAAAAAACATAAACAATACTTCAATTTTTTCTTACATTTAAAAAAACACACACACACACACACACACACACAATTAAGCGGCCCACAGCATTTCACAGGCGAATGATATAGTCTCGTGAAGGTAGTGTAAAAAAATTCAAAGCTCAAAAGCATTTGCAACAATGGCAACATGGCTTTTAAGTGTGTACCACAAAAGACATCTAGATCATGACTATGGTCCAATCACTTCCTCTGGGTTGGACTGTGAGGCCTCCAGGACTGCAAGAGATTTCCCAGCTCCATATCGAACAGAATTATAAGAAGATAAAAAAAAACAAAAACAAAAACAAATATCCATTACACTGTAAATTATTACAATGTAATACTATTTTTCCCTCCACTATACAAATTAATGGGTAAAATATGAACTTATCATATTAATGATCTAAGTCTTAATATTTTTTAATGTGTAGCCTTCTTATATGACTACGCGAAAGGTGATTTCGCAAATCACTCGCAAATTTAAATCACAAATAGCTACTGATCCCTCCTTCAAAATATGTAGGTGAGAAGGGAGAACAATTGGCAAGTTAGTGTTTATTCCATAAAGTGATGTAGAGTTTTTTTAAAATATTTTTTATTTTGAAATATATTAAAGTAATATTTTAAAAAAAAAAATATTTTTAATATCAACACATTAAAATTATTTAAAAAATATTAATTTAATTTTTTTCAAGATAAATACACTTTTAAAATATATATAAAAACACAGTTGAAACCTACTACTAAACATGTGTTTATTTTAATATTTGTAGTTGGGTTTGGTATAACATAATTATACATAAAACTCAATTATAAAAATTAATTTTTTTTATTTGTTTCTAGTTATTTTAATGAATTTTATTTATAAAACACAACCTAGACGATAAAAAAGGAAAATGACAGCACATGTTTTTGTCCAGCATTAGATCTAATACCCAACTTTCAATATCCAGGTACATTGATTGTTTCTTGCCCAACCATAAAGAACTAAAAGCAACTGGTATGTCGTTGAACCTATAAAATATAATTATAATTTTATTATCATAGACAAATTAAATTTATAATGCGATTAAAAAACCCGTTAAACTCAAGAAAAATTTGATTAAATTTTCAAATAAGATATTGAAATAAAAAAGAAGAAGGATTTGAATCAAAAATTAAAAAAATAAAATTCTAAAAATAAAAATAATAAATTGATATATTATTACTTCAGTTCAAGCATCTATATACTCATTCCTATAAATCTATTAATTATAGAAGTAAAATAAATATTTTTTTATATCAAACAAATATATTTGATATCTCTTAAAACTAAAAAAAATTGATGAGATAATAAGTAAATTAATCAAATAAAACTCTCTAATTAATTTCTTATCATCACGAGAATTTAATATTGAAAGCTTAAAATATGTTTTTTTTAATTTATAATATGAAAGTAAAGAATTTTGTTGTAAAAATGATTTCCGCTAGATTTTGTAAATCTGACTAGGGCTAAATTTTGTAAATCTGACTAGAGATTCAAATAAATATGGATTTTTACCTATAATATTTTCTGAAAAAGTTTGATATGTTTGCTTTAATTTTGATTTATATAATATGTGAAAAACTTGTTACAAAAAACCAAGTCAGAAATATAAAAAAAAAATACTAAATTTCTTATTTTTTAGTAATTAATTCACAAAATCATTTAATCATACCTGTCACGACCCGAATCCCGGGTCCATGACCGGCAACGCAGGTGTTTAAATAAGTTTAAGAAACATTAGAAAGCATAGTAAAAGGAATATAAACATTTATATATTTTCACTTATCACCAGCTATAAGAATACGTATGCAGTAGCAATCCTATTCAGAAAACGAAAAGCAAGTATATAGGTTTGGTTAGAGAAAAGAATAAGGAAAAAAAATTGAGTAAGAGGCATATACTGGTCATACCCTATCCCATTCAAGGTCCCATTAACCCAATGATCCAATTCTCCAAGCGCCTAGCCTCCAAAGGACTCCAGGTAACAGCAGTCATCTTCTCAAGCCAGGCACTGCTCAAGCATACCCAACTTGGCTCGGTCGGAATTGTGACCGAAGATTGTCAGAGTCATGAGGAAGCAAAGATTTTGATAGATGACTACCTATAACAATTCCAAGCTACGGTGACACTAAAATTGCGAGAACTCGTTGTAGAACTAAAGAATTCTTCTAGATATCCAATATGTTGCCTTGTGTATGACTCACTAATGCCTTGGGTTCTAGAGACAGCGAGACAGCTTGGCCTCAGTGCAGCTTTGTTCTTCACACAGTCATGTGCTGTTCACACTGTCTTCTGCCACATCCATGAGGGGCAGCTCAAGGTTCCACTAGAGAAGTTGCCTCTTAACATTTTCACGTCCCCCGGCCCTAGAAATTACTGATTTGCCATCATGTGAGCAAGGTCTGGAATCAAAATCAGATATTCATCTATATTGAACATAGTGGTTAGTCAATTTTCGAATTTCAGGGAAGCTGATTGGATCTTTTTCAACACTTTCAACACCCTCGAGGAAGAAGTGCAAGTCTTGATCTCAATCTATGCACGTTAACCAAGCAAACCAATGTGTAATCAAACAAGCACGCAAGCAGTCAACAACTGATTGACAAACAAAGCAACATAAATGAAAGCAGCAATTATTCAAATACCTATTTAATTTCTTTTTTCTTTGTTAATATGATGATAACATATTTTCAAAGTATGCTGCTTTTTCTTTGTGGC